AATAAGTGTCTAGTTTAGAGCGAGTCAAGTGAATATAAAAATATTTATTTTCTAGAGCGGGACAGATACCTGTGATGATCACAAATGCCTCGAGAGGTGCATATTTATTGCGTTGCTTTTTGGAAATATAAATCAAGCATGAAACGTTTTCAGAAGAAGTTCAAGTATCTCTTCAACATTCACTTTGAGTTTATATTTTCGTAATTAAATGCAATTTTAATTAATTTCATACTTCTCATTTACAGAGTCCCATTAGCATAATGTAATGACAAAAATTCCTCTTTACTCATTTTCATTTTAAAAATATATTTATAAAGAAATGCAATTGTTGAACAGCAATTGAAAGATACTCGTTTGTGATGTTAAGAGGGTATATTGATGCACAGCTCTACATCTGTCCCATATTCAGTTATCATTTGGCAAATATCTACGACAAAGGTAGGTCACTCAAACTGCTGTGACTCATATAACTCCTGCAACTCCTCGTGAAACTCTTCCTCCTACAACTCCTCTTCTACCAACTCTTCCTCCTGCAACTCCTCCTCGTTCAACTTCTTCTCCTGCAACTCTTCCTCCTGCTACTGCTCCTCCAGCAACTCCTTCTCCTGCAACTTCTCTCTTAGTCTACAGCTAGAATATTTAAATTATGCAGTTTGCTTAACAGTGAACGAGTATTGTGCAATCAGTAGCACTCGACGGCAACGATTTTATTTGTTCTCTCTTTGAAGCATATATCAATTGTAATCAAATATTTATTTTTGAAATGCAAATTAGCGAGAAACTCAAAATAAGACAACTCCAAATATATGTACAGAGTACATACATACATATATATAGACATACATACATGCATACATATATATGTTGTACATCAATGCGCAACTTGCGTGACTGCAGCTTAAGCATCATTTAGTTTATCTCTGGGCCTTTGCCTAACGGGCATTCAGAGCCCGATTAAATTAACCCCATTGACAAGGGTAATGAAGTGGCAGCCAGAAGAAGAAGAAGAAGAAGCAGATGGAATCAGCTCAAAGCTTGCGCCCCCATTCGGGTTAAATTTCTTGAAAATGAAACAATTTCTTAGCACCAGCCCTGACAATTGTCAGCGCACATCGAGGCAACCAACAACTGCGACCACATGTTGCACACGCCCGGCACGGGTACACACCCCATTCACACACACACACGCGCAGAGTGGGCATCTGCATCTCTCGCATAGCTCGTTTGACTGAGAATTTAATGATCAGACAACTAGCGGGCGTGGTCCAATTGCCGACGCTGGCGGTTTCGCTTTATAAGCACCACGAAAACAACAACAAGAGCCATAATATTCAAATATATGTATGACACGCACACAGACAAACACCCTCTACCCGTTGCGTAACCCGCACACTAATGAGATCCAACCGCTGTGAGGCTTGTGGGCAGAGTGTTTGGGTCTATCGGTAATTGAGACTCGATTTGGTATCGAGCCGCAGCAATTTGTATTTGCCATTTGCCACAATTCGTGTGTGGGTTTTGCTTTGGGCCTTCTCTGTCTGCATGTCTGGCTCTGGCTTGTCTGCTACGACCAGCTGCTCCTGCTGCTGCTGCTGCTATTTGCTTTGACTGCTCTGGAATGCGAATGCGCATTTGCATTTGGCCACATGTGTCTCTGACTGCCTGCCAGTCTGTCCGTCTGTCCGTCGGTCCTCAATTGAATGTGGAGCAGCCAGCATCTGTGAGTGAAAAACTCTTGCGCCTCATAAAATATATAGATATAGCTACATATGTATATATAAATATGTGTGCATTACTCAAGTTTACAACTTTGCAATTTGTTAGTGCAACTTTTTTAATGGTTTTTCATTTGGAGTGAGGCTTCCTAAGTGCTAACGATTACATTTTTAGCTACTGGATCATTAATTGAATTTCTCTGGCGATGTGATCATCAATACTGATAATATCTAAGCCATGAACACTCACATTTTCAACATTAATGATATTTATTCATAGCAAAAATTTATTTATGATGCTCTCTGATCCAATGGAAATAATAATTATAAGGCATACTTTGATACTCTGATTATCCGGTCTTAACATGAATATGATATTAATATGCTATTATTCTTGGGCATAACTGAGTAAAAACTTTCGCGGATTATTAATGATTATGATTGATGCCGAGCATATTTTAGTCGAGCATTCCTTAAACAAATTCATTTATTTTTGCAATTATAAATAATAATAAATATGTTATGAATTATCTTATTACTAATAATACAAACTGTTTTCATTTATTTATAATTCCGTGCAAAAGTGTAAGAAACCTTTGCTTACCTATTAAAATCGCTGGTTCCATTTTCGTAAGTCGTTTTTGATAAAAATTGGGTTAGATCCAGAAATTCGTTGGGTTGAAAACACGTATTTCGCTTTTATTCGTATTCTCGTTTGTTTAAAATTGCCGAATCACATAGCCTTTCATCCTCTTCTTCTTTTTATGATCGTAATATTCTATTTATGATCATTTCATTGACATTCTTTTCACTTTCTCACTTGTTTAATTCTCTTTATACTTAGATTTCGTAATATTTCGCGGAAATTATTGAAAATTAAGGCGCGTTCGTGGCTTTCTGAATAAAAAACGTTTTATACAAATATGAGGTACAAAATTTGATGGGAAACAAGAAAAATGAGACTTGGCACCTGCAGCGTACCTGCCTTGAAATTGATGTTTGCAAAAGCAAAATAAACACAGAGAGTGAAAAAATAAATAAAACAAAATAAAAAAAAAACAAGCACAGCATAAAAACACAAACACTTAAACAAATACAAAAGCAAAGCGAGCGAGTGGGAAAGAACAAGAAACTACCGTTAAACGGCACAGACCTATTGCCTTAATGAGTTTCTTGTTTGTTTGCATGCCATTTGTTGTTGCTTGGTTAATTTAACACGCCTTTTAGTTTGTTGTTTACTTATTTTGATACTGCAACCCGCTTACTTTTTTTTCAGTTTATCAGTGTGTATATTCGTTATCGCAGCGGAGAAGAGGGAGAGAGAGAGAGAGAGCGGGAGCAGCACAGGTGGTTGTTTCGCTTGCGCTCTTCCGTTCTGCCGCTTGATCAGAAAACAAACACCGGGTTGAGGCCAAGCGGTATAGTTGGCAAATGAAACACGAAGTGAGCATTTGCCGTTCACATTCCAATAAACACGCGCATGGAAAGGGAAAACCTGATATGAAACAATGGTATAGTGGAACAGACAACAGTTTCACCGCCTCTAACTCTGCTGACGTCGCTGTTGCTGCCGTCTCGGGTAATTTGTGAGTCAAAGAATCAGGCAGAAACAACAACTACAATTTTTGTGTATGTATGAAGTTATGTGTGACTGCGTGCGTGCCTTAGTGTGTGTATATATGCATGTGTGGGAACGAGAAAAGAGTTAAAGACAGAAAATGCCACAGAAAATTTGTATTATTTTTTTTGCACTTTAAGTAAACACAGAAACGGCCAAGCAGGTACGACAAATATTTATAGTTATGTGTATATATCACTTGATTTAAACAATAGCCTTAGTATTATTTCATTTTGGTGAGCAACAACACAAACACTCCAACTTGAACTTGTTGCGACGTTGACGCCATCATCGGCGTCCGCGTTTAATTGAATTTTTGCACTGCCTTTGAGCCAAGGTAAGAAGCAGATTCTCAGTGTGCTCTGCACACATTTTGATTACACACTTTTAATTAAACATTTAAAGCGACTTTAATGGCAGACTTCACAGTGTGTGGCGGTATTTGTACGTCGCTTTTAATGCTACCCTTTTTTACTTTGCGTTTTGATTGTTGTTTCTGTTTCTGTTTCTTTTTACCTCTGGCATAAAAACGTAAAAACCTTCCGCGCACTTAAAGCGAAGTTTCTCGCGCGACTGCGCTGTCGTGACTGTCTGATTGGAGCAAACCGATCTTTAGAGCGAGCGGCAGTGCTGGCTATTTTCGAGAGACAACAGAACGCAAGCTAAAAAGTTAGCCTAAATTTGAGTGCGAGAGATATCTGTAAATATGATGCCATAAAAGCATAGTTAATGATAAATACAGTTCTTGTAATGTAACAACATTACATTTCACTCAATTATTCTTATTTATTTATTTGATATACAACGTTAAGATTGCACGCTCTTAGCGGTACGCAGAGAAATAGCTAAATCAGGCTGCCAGCACTGTTAAGCGACGAAAGAGCGGGCAGTAAAACTACAGAAGAAGGTTCTGTTAACAGTGGTGATTCCATTATTCAATAGCATTATTCACGGTTACTATTTGACCTACCAAAACAATGTATTTATTTATGTGCTTCATACGATTAAGTAAACAAACAAGTTTATCGTATCGTGAAGAGCATATAATGCAGTAATTTTTGATATTTCTATGATATTATTGCTGATAAAATTAAAAATCGAAGAGCATGTTGGCTTCAATTGAAGCTGCTTGCCCAACTGTTAACTAACAGCATACGCTCTGAGAGCAGATTGCTTTGGGAGCAGCGCTGAGCGTACAGCAGCTCAAAAGTTCCAATTTCATTTTGGTGCATTGAAATGTGAATGGAAATGGATATGGCGCTAGCGGAGAAGGCAATCAATTTGAATCAAATTGGAATTAATTGATAGGCCTGGAAGAGTATAATTGGAATTTACTTTTGAACTTAATAAATATTTACAATTCGTATAATATATATGAAAAAAACGTATATACTGTTCGATATATGTAAGCCATGCGAGTAATCTTAACTTAAGTGCACTGCTTAATAGTATATGTATATATATACTCAAATTTATCAAGTATTTTATACAGATATGAGTATTATGGCCAGACTTTTCACATCATTATATGCAAAAGTATTTTATCAAAATTTTAAACCATGGCAAACAGTAGATAAGCGCTACAGCTGTTGACAGCTCTAATGTGGACAGGCATATACCTGCATATATAGATATAGATACAGATATATATAAAGTGGAATACTTACCCATGGTTTTTACCATAAAGTCATCGTAGTTCATTAGGGGAGGCGTTTCGGCACCTTGTATAACATTCATGAAGTCCTCGTCGCTGCAGACTGAATCGTAGTCACTGGGATCGTACATGTTGCTTATGATATATCGCTCGGATTTGATCAATTGCAATTTATTTTTTATGATTTAGCTAATTAGCTTTTCTGGCGTTTTTCAACACTGTCACATACTTTTAGGCAGCTTAACGAATACAAGAGTCTGGCTCTGCACTAGAGCTATAAGTCGATATTCCTCAGCGAGCTAATAAGGTCTCGATCAATCATTGAGATTGACAGATTGATGTCTCCGCGAGCTGCATGATCGAATAAAAACTACACCTGCGAGTGACCCACCTAGACGGCTGAAATGTGAAGTGCGACTAAGGCAACAACATTGGAGAGCCTCTAATCAACAGCGAGCAAATACAAATACTACGAAGGCTATCACTAGCGCAAGTGAGCGCTGAGCAGACCCATGCAAACGTCTCCCTGCTGATTAGAATACTTATAAAACACGTATAAAACGAAAAGGTGTAGAGATACGAAATGTTCTATTTGCAAAGAGATCGCTCAGCCAGCGGTTCTCAGCTCTGCTGTTAACTGAGATGCTATGAAGGTGCGCCTCAGCAACTCTCGTTCTCTTTTCACTTGTTTTGGGCGAAAGTAAAGGTGCAACTGTGTGTGTGTGTGTGTGTGGAGGAATTCGAACAGACGGAATGCTATATCTTATCGCACTTGTTGAATTGAAACTTGTTTTGTGCACATATTGAAAGTAGTAAAACCCATAAATAGCTAATGATTTCAATTAATTAATGCGTTCACACGATATCTTACGATCGTATTTTGGAATAGATACAGATCTTTAAGACTAATAAGCTTAATTTAGAAATGTTTCTTGAATTGCTAATTGATGATTTGGAACATGGAATATGGAATTTAGTTGGAAAATTATTGTATACCAATTAGACTTTGTATGTGCATTATAGTTTGACAACGTATTAGAATTGGGAAACGTTGGAATATTGGCATATTCGAATAAGACGTTATGTGACGTATTCTTATGCGTCTTATATGTATATAAATATCATAATGATTTAAAATGTGGAGATTTTCATATTAAGACTTTTTATGTGAAAATAGTTCTTATTAATTTGAATAGTTGAGATTTGAAATGTGGATATATTCCAATGTGTCTTTTTCTAAATCAAAATAACTTGCACGCTAATTGGAAAAATTGTCAGATACATGGAAAGAGCATATGTTCTAATAAGAGTTAAATATATCAAAGTTTTTTGACGACTAATTGGAATTTGCTTAGCGATATGGCTAACTTCAATAAAAACTCGAATCTTAACATATTACATGAGATTAGAGATAAAAGAACTGAATTGTATTATAATATACAAACCATATGTACATTTGCTTATTTTTGAATATATATTCCTTATGCACTGTATTACATATCTCAAGACAAAACTAAAATACTTTTTAGAAGAGAATTATGCTTATTTTTGATTTAATGGTCATTTGTAGACTAACTTGAATCGTCACGTTTTATACGAGGAATTGGAAGCATGTTCTCATGCTTTTATCTATTTATTTTATTTATATAACTTTTGTATTTTATATTTGTTCATTGAGAATTCAACTGTTATCTAGAGGCTTGCACTTAGAATTCCAATTGGTTTTGCGCTGACCTTTTCCACAAATTGATTGAGCTTGAAATACCAAGTATTACAGTCACTGTTGATCTGCTATATATAAATATATATATATATATATATATATATGCATATATAAATAATTCATTCAACTGTAAGGTCTACCTTATTCAGCCCATTCGCAATTTTGATTTATTTTTGCTCTGTGGCTTTGACTCTTTAAAGCTTCCCATCGCTGTCCAAATAAAACACAGTCGAGTTGTTTTTAAAACGGCACACCAAAGAAATAGCTTCATTGGAATGCTTAAAATTGTATTTAGGTTTCTGCATTTCAATCTATATTCAAATACACTTAGAATTTGTAATAATTTAGTTTTAGTTTTTTTTTTTTAAGTTTTTGTTGTTTTGCAATTGAATTCAAGTTTTGTTTTATTTTACTTTTTTCTTAGATTTTTTTGTGTGATTTTTGAAGAGTTTTTGCCTCTTGTTTGCTGCAATACTTATTTGATTTATTTTCAACATTTTCAGATATGTTTATAGAGAAATACGTACGGCTGTAACTATTTATATGCTATCGTAAATTGAGAATATTTAAATGAAAAATATTAAATAAAGAGTAAATAAAATTGAGTTTTGCATAAAGTTTTGCACAATTGTTTCAGCATTTTAATTAAATTTGGGTCAGTTTTTGGCTTAAAACGCTGAAACAAGTTGCAAAGCCAAAAAGTTAAACAAGAACAATTTTACTGTTTACAATTAAGTATTTGCTTAATCTCTTCTATGTTTGCATATTTGATATGTTTTCATTTTTGTTTGTTTGTTGTTAAACTTGATATGTTGCATATTTGCCTACATATATATGGGTATATAGATATAGGTTTTGCTTATCTGATCTCCAGTTGCTTTTGCGTTCTATAACATTTATAGCTTCTATACGCTGATATGTTTGTGATATAGTTTTGTGGCTTACGTTTATATGTATATAGTATATTTATTTATATATATATATATAGATTGTATAATAAAATTTAAAAGTTTCAAAAATATGCTCAGAGAAACGCATAATTGTTTGATATGTTTTATATGTTAAGAATTAAGTTGGGTCTTTGAGTAAACGATATAAAAAAGTGTGAAAAAGTTAGATGAAAAAGTGTTTAAAAATGTTTTTTAAATTGTTGTACATTACAGAAAAATAAACAAATTATCACTTGTTAGTTTTTTGTTTTTCTTTTTTTTAATATTATTTCTTGTTCGCGTTCAACGTTCATCTGCATCCATATGAAATATGTAGCTTGTCTCCTTATTTACACGGCGCATATACACACGTATACACACATACATTGTTAGTTAATATAATTTGATATATATATGTATATATTTTGTTATTTACTTAGACATTTATATTTTCGTATATATGTATATAGTACCTATATCTATATATATATATATATATAGTTCAATGGATCTGTTGTTGTTTATCTTCTTTCAATACCACACTTAGTTTATTATATTGTTTAAACAAATTTCTATATATTGTTTACGTTTTTTTCTAAACATTTAAATAGACAATTATTTTTAAGTTTAAGTTTCAAATCAAAATTTGTATTTTTTTTTCGTTTTTCTAGCAACAATACTTTGTTTTATGTAAGTTTCTACCAGCTAATTCAAGGTACTTATAACTCCATTAATATTTTGTTTTTTTTTTTAGATTTCGGTTTTTGGATCTGCCGCTCACTATCTCAATTGTGAATGTCTGTCAATTGTGAATGCCCATTCGCATGGAATGTGGCTTAGTTACCTTCGCTTTTAACAATTCCGTGCTCTGAACTCCCCAAGGAGTGTGGGTGGATCTCGTGTTTCTTAATATTTTTTAAGTGCATTAAGTAAAGCGTTTTAGTAGCCAATTTTGTGTGTGTTTTCTTTACTATATATAACATATATATATATAGTAGTTGATAGGGTCAGTTGGTTATCATCAACAGAACTGGCTGCTAAAATTTTGCATCCTCAAGAGCTTCATTTTGGTTACTATTTTGATATATATTTTTGTTAAATCGTTTACGTTGAAAAGTTGAATAGACTTACATCGATTAATAATATGTGTAATAAAAAGATTACTTTATTTAATCGTAATTTTGTTTGATTTTCTCCTTCTCTTCTGCAATAGCCGTGCACGAATTATGCAACTCGACAATTGGGTTTTCAGGTATTGAATTGTGTACAGTAGCCCGACATTTTCCTCTAATCTTAAGCGGTATATGTATGTACTTTAAGTATATCGTGATTAATTATTTGTGTATATAGTTCGCAGAGTTGCCAATTGAAGCGTTGTGTGCTTCAACCTACGACAACAATAGCTGCAGGGCTTGCTTGTGGCTACAACTCTAAGCTCGAGACGATGTGTCCCAATATATGTGTATATATATCTATATCTATTTATATATCAAACTCTACATAGACGTTAGTAAGCGACTGAGTGTATATAGAAAAGAAGTTTCAAAAAGTTAAAAGTACTTTCGCATATTTGTTGGAAGGTTCTGTACTGATAGCCTTGGTTGCTTTATTGCTGAAACGCACAACTTTTGTGGAGCTCCTGCTACAGTGAATACCTTATGGGGGGCTTGAAACTAGATCTGTTGTGAGGCGTCCTCAAACCGTGACGCGAATACATTGATAAAGTCGTTATACACATATAAGAAAAAAATTTCGTCCTATAAATATTTGAGTAGAATTTTTTTATTCTTTGTTTTTTTTTGTTTTTTTTTTTTTTTGTTTTTCCTTTCTCTGTTTTCTTTTGCCGAACGATCCTGCTTCCATAATTTGCATTTTTCGTGAATTCTTTTTGATGTTTTCTTCATTTATCGAAACTTTTTGGCTATTTGCTGAAAGATGCGCGTTAATTTTCTCAAAATTTGGAAAAGTCTTTGAACACAAACGAAACTAGGATACGACGATTGCAGGCCGATTACAAGAGCGCAGAAGAAGAACTTGCGAAAAGTATTTGATAAGAGCAGCCGATTTAATATCGTTTTGCTATATTTTTAACTTTGATCAATTTATTTTTTTTTTAGTTTTGTTAGATTTTGCACTTTTTTTTATAGTTTTTGTGGCTTTTCCTGGTTTTTTTTGTTTTTTCTAAAAAGATGCTGAAAGCAAATCAATGTTTGGACGGCTAGGGAAAGCAAAATAGAGCAAAATAATTTACTTTTAAAACTCAATAAAATTGCGAAAGCTTTTGAGAAAATATTTGATATGTATGTGTGAGAGTGTGTGTGAGTGTATACTTGGTAGTACACATTGGTTACAACGCCCTTCTAGTAATTGTAATTGTCGTAGGGCGTGCCCAAATATGAATAGAAATTAGGATTGATGGGCTGTGCGTGTGCATAATAAAATCCAGAAGCCGGATCCGGCGCTACTCAGTCGAGGAAACCGGTATTGACCAATTTCTCCAAGAAGAACTTCACATCGCCCAGCTCAGAGTCCTTAATGCCGAGCGACTTCAACATGCCAAGATCTCCGTTCTCCACGGCCATGAAGACAGAACGCAAATGCTCCAAATCAGATCTGAAACGGAAAATTCCGAAAAGTGAGACTCGCATCCTTCAAGCCAATTTTAATTAAAATATATAGACAAGCATTCACTCTATCGTCAAATGCCTTTTTGTGTTCAGGTCTCTTAATTAATTCTTTCAGGTGACGTCCCTGCTTACGCTGTGTTGTTCTGTTATTTAAAAAGGAAAACTTCGTTATTAGCAGAAGCATGAAAGCATGAGCGACAGAGCAACCACAACACATTGTGTACACTGCGCATGAAATTAAAGCAAGCATGACTGCTTCTTTGAAGTAGGATATGCCAGACTACGAAATACCCTAAATACTGTTGTTAATTTTTCTCTTTTTAAAACGTTCTATTCTCTTTCTGTTAGGGTATAAGTCAGGCATTTAGACTTGGTTATATTTATTTAAATGTATTCATACTTCTAGTTATGGACGAAACGGGATATGCCTGACTAAGAAATACCGTCAATACAACTGTAACTTCTCCTCTCCTTAGTACGATCTATTCTCTTTCTTAGGGCATAAGTAAGGCATCTAAGACCTAAAGTTCTATTTACTTAAATAGAATCTTTCTTCTGATTGACGAATAAGTGGAATATGCCCGACTGCGAAATACCATTTCTATCGTTCTATTCCCTTTTTTGTATTCTCCTCTTATTCAATGCTTCAATAATTCAACTACAACTCAACTTTGAGATTGATATTTACTCAAATGGACTCTTACTTCTGATTAAAGGCGAAGTGGAATATGCCAGACTATGAAATACCCAAAATACACTTCTTACCTCTCTTCATTCTATAATCTTTCTATCAAGGAATCAGCATGGCATATTATTCATACTGCTGATTAAGTACCAGGTGGGATATGCCCGACTACGAAATACCCCAAACACAGTTTATGCCTCTTTCTTTCTTCATTGAACTCATATTGGCATTCAGCCATTGTCAAATTCTTAAAAATCATAAATAAACACTCAGTTTTGGCGCAAGGGAAAAGCACTTTGCAAGTCAGGATTAAGAAATAAAAACAGAAACTTTGAGAGGGTTTTCCACATAAATATTAGTATATGCATGATTGGTGTCCTGCACGCTTACTTTATCATCGATATCAAATTCTATGTGAAAACTTAGGCTGGGGTCTGAGCAGCTTAATGTACCTTTTCCTGTGGCCATTGAAGTTCTGCTGCCTCTATTAAACTGCTCTCGCAGGCACTTCAAACTTTCGCTTCAACGATTAATTGCGTTGATGAAATTTTGTAAGTGCCCCAAAATGCTCTAGCGAAAGAGGCAGGACGGCCACAGAGGCAGTGGCAGTGGCAATGGCAAAGCCAGAGGCAAACGGGCCTACGAAGGGCTTTTGCTAACTTATCAGGCTGTTCGTCGGGTCGTCGTCTTATGTGTCTAGCCGTAGCTCATAATTACGTACACTCCAGTTAATTGGGCCTACGTGCGACAGCCATTTTTGGGACCAAATCTCATTACTATGGCCGCCGTTTTGTGGTTCGTTTTTATTGTTCTAATTTAATGAAAATTTTCTGTCATGAGGGCTGCCAGCAGTCTGTTTACTTTTCACACAATTTTAGCTTTGTTTTCGAGGTAAACGAACTTATAGAGTTTCTAGAGCAAGAGCTATTTTTGGTCTAAAGGAAGCCTTTTAGTTCATTTTATTATATGAAGAAGTAAATATATATATATTCGTGTTCCACCTAAATTGCAATCAGAGTAGAATCGTACAGCGCGGACAAACTATGATATGAACAATCGAATTAGGTTTTTGTAAATTGAATCGTTTCTTGACAAAAGACCATTTTGCTTAGAGCATATTAGGTGCCTCAGCTGCTCGAGGGAAATGTGGTTACTGTGGCGTCTCAAATGTCCTTCGCACATTTGAACGACTTGAAACACCCTTCTTAGGCAAAGGATGTGCTACGGGGTTGCCGTCCTTAAAATAGTTTGCAAACTGTCAGCCCCACCAGAAAACAAAACAAAAATGTATTCAAATAAAGAACAGACGCTGCCACAGACAAAAAGCAAACACATGAAAGGGTACGTATGCCATATTTTAAAATTTTATAACTTGTTTGTGGTTGCGGAGCACCGGGCTGAGGTCGCACGCATAATTCAAGAGACTCGCCAAGGACGCTGCAGGATGGCTCTGTACGGTATCCTGGCCAGCGAGGCAGGACTCTGGTGTGAAGAAGAGCAGGCAGAGCACACGCGCCACTGCAGAGGGCGGGCTTGTGGCAAGACTAAAAATGGCTTTGGGGTATGTTAAGTTTATTTAAGAGCTTTCATTATTTATATTATTTTTGGGAGGATATGTTACTCGAGGCACTAAATTAAAATTCTCCTTCGTGCTGAAAAGGGTCGGAGATAACAAACGGTTTTAGTTTTAAGCGCATATAGTGAACCCTCCGGGCGTTGAGTTTGGCTCACATATTCTGACCTTACCTCATTAGGTGCAGTGCGGCTCCAAAGTCCTCAATAGTTTGCGATTCGCTCAGGGCGATGGCCACCTTCTCGACACCGCCCAAGGGGGAGAGAGCGTCACGTGCCTTGCTGCCAAAGAGTTTTTCCAGGTAATTAGGTCCATGCGAGGCGATTAGGCTTTGCAAAAAGGATGCAGTCTCCTCGACGGGCGGACGTTTGGCTGCAAGCACAAGTAAAACCGAGAAACCATTATAAATTGCTAATAAATAATCCAAGCCACTTAAAGGGTTTGCTGTGGCACTGGAGGAAGGACATGACACTTATGTTTCATTAGACAAGTTGAATCCGTTCGACACGTGCTTCAATTAGCAGAAAGAAGCAAAGAGAGGGAGAAACAGAGAGGGAGAGTGAACCACGCAGTAGCTTTGCAACACAGAATCCATTAGATGTCACTTACTTATGTATAAATAATAAAACTTTCATGAAGAAATTGAAGAAATTGCTTAAGTACTTAAAGCTCTTCACAGACAACTTAAATTTTAATTTTAAATAAATATTTCTGCCTGAGCGAAATTTGATTTGACTAAGAGACTTTTGGCAATTCAATCTGAGACCAAGAATACAGTTACCAACAAAAATACAGGTACACTTTGTGAATTAAAAATATGTCTATTAGCTATACCCGTCTCTAAGGCTAGCTGCCTCTCTCTTGGCAACTCTCCCTTCTCTCATTCTAATTTATACATATATATCTTGCCATATAAAGTAAAGGAATATTCTGCTTTCAGTTTCGGATGCAGATAATCTGAATCGACTTTAACTGAGAGAGAAATAAATATAAGAAAATTTTCCCCGGCGCTTCATAGAGACAAGAATAGAGCTCATATACTTTTCATGTTGTATATCGTAATTAGATAATACATATATCTATATATTAATCTACTAATTTCTCTTACACTTACTACCTAACTGCTCTCTCTATATAACATATATATTCTACCTCTCTCTTTCTATGTGTGTCCTTTTATCTCTCTCTATCTGTATCTTTCTTTCCATATCATACTCGCCCTATCTATCTCATTCTTCCTCTCTCTCTCTCTGCTTGCCTTGCTCTCTCTTTACTCTCCACTTACTCTGTCTACTCTCTCCTCTGTCTCTTTTCCTATGTCTCTTTCCTATCTTTCTATGTCTCTATGTCTATCTTTCCCACTCTCTCATCATTCTCTCTCTCTAGCTACCTCTCTCTTCCTCTCTTTCTCTCCTCCATCTCTCTTCACTTGGCTCTCTCGTAATTTGGCTCTTCTCTCGTTGCTATGCTTATCTCTATCTGTGAATCTCTCATCCTTCTCTCCCTCCTTTCTCTCGCTCGTCTCACCGAATTACCTATCTTATGATAGACCAAGTCTACGACTTTTCAGATGTCTGTCACATTTCACAAGATTCGTCAGCTATGCTAGAGAACAGCACTTTAAGTATTTAAGGGCACTTTGAAGCCATTTCGTCGATTCAATTTCTTTTAAATTGATCTAGTTAAATATATAAAAAGGTAAATGAAACCTTTTGCCACACTATTTCGTTTTATCGCAGTTTTATTTTTTTTTAACATTTTGAACGATTCTTCTCGACCTTTAACACACTCGCTGCGCTTTCGAGACCCGCTCAACGTCCCGCATGTACATATGCTGACGAATGTTGGCATTTTTAATGGTTGCAAGGACACGGTACTCGATGGATCTGTAGCAAGAGTGTGGGCGTGTGTGTATATATGTAGGTTGATTCAGTTACTGACTGTATTTGTTATGCAAATGGCGCACTTGCCCAGTTGTTAATAGTTCTCAATATGGCTAAAAGGGTATCTTGTTTCTATACGAGTGTGTGCAGCAGTTAAAACAAATTATCTAAGAGTTCATGTTTCAAATACAAAATTTCAATATAAATTTAATAATATTTGAATAATGTCTTTTTTTCAATACACTCTCTCTATATTTTAATTGAAATATGAATACCCTAAGTGATGCTTGTGTGAAGTAAAGAGAGATGATAAGCATTTCAGTTCAGTCATATAAAATATAGATTTCCGATAGTTAGCACAATAATTTTGCCAGCTTTTTAAGCACGATTTTCACATAGGTCAGGGTATTTTCTAGCAGCGCATATTCGACTAAAGAACTCTACTTGCGCCCCCTTTTTCAAGCTGTTTTGTTTTGTTGTTGGCATCTATGTGGGCTCCAGTGCATGTGTGGCCAGGGCATATCGCCCGGGTCTGGCACAGTTTTACATGACCCGACCATAGTGTGTGTGTGTCGCCTGTTTGCCTTTAACTTGTTACATATTCAAGCGATGTGTATCAGCCGTTTAGATAAGGCTACCTAGCATTTGCAGGCTCTTTGGTCGCCGGCCCGCAGCAGTAGCAGCAGCAACACTTTGCTCAGCTCCAAAGTTAACTTTTTGGCTGTTGATAAAATGTATGCAAATATATGTTAATTTCCCATGGGTATTCGAGTGCAGCGCATTTAATATTTGTTTTTTATTTCTTTTTTTGCTCCACTCCTACTCGCTATTTCTATTATTTTTATGCAAAAAAAATATATTTTTTTTATATATTATGGATTGTTTGGGTGCCTTTAAAGCTTGCTCTAAAGACTCTTTCCTTGTAATGTCTGATCCGTAAAGTGATTGGAATTGATGCTGATTTCTGACCCAGCAGTCACTAAGCATAGCTCTTGAAACCACAAGGAGCTAATTAATGTTTATTAAAAACGTATTCTCTTGTCTTGGAATATCTAGTTTCTATGGAACCTAATGCCCTCGCTCAATTTAGAAAAATTGGCTGAAATGGAAACCTTGCAGCAAGTTGAATGCGAACGTAGCAGCAACAGAGCTCTGTTGCCAAGCTCAATTTGTGGTGGAGCCAATTTAGTCTGGCATTTAGTCCCACGCTCAACTGCGAGTTCAGGGCAGCTAGATAGAGTGCGGCGCATAATTTATCAAAGACATTTGAGCCAGGCGCTATAACTAGACCCAGACCGAGACCGACACTTCCTAAATGATTTCATTGTCGAAAAATAGTTGTTTTTTCTTTTGGGTCTGCTCATTTTGGTTTTGTTATAGTACAACAATGGTGTACACGTAAAACGAACGCCTCAGTGCGCTCGGCTGTGCCCTGCGGCCTCTGCGTGTCCTGGTAACAGAGTCCAGTGGGGTCGAAGGACGCACGTGTAGGCGTCAGACCCGCCTGCTGCCCACTTTCGAGCTTTAGCCAAGTGAATTGGGGCAATTAGCGGCAGCAATTTTCTGTTTGCTTAAAGTTTGCCCAGCTGTCTTGTTGTCTTTCGCCTTTACCGAAAATGAATTTCCCATTGTTTGCTCGACATCAGTGCGTAACTCCGAAGACCAACTGCAAGTACATATCTTTGTCTTTTCAGCTAGTTTATGTGCCGAGAAATATCTTTATGAACCAGCAACAATAAATTTCCGAGCCTTGCCCAATATTTAATAAACAAGATTTCCTTCGGCAGCTCCAATGCCAAAGTTAATTATTTCTGCCCTAATTATCGTGCAATTCGTTTAATTATTTTGCTGATTGTACGTCATTGTTTAGCACATAAATCAACTGTCATTCAAAGAGGAAATATTTTCTACATTGACGTTTCAAGTAGATTGATTGCCTTCATTTATGTTTTAACTAGATAAGCAGCTTAAGAGCACTCGACTTAACAATACGAACAGCCGACGGCTGAATGTGCTACGCTTTTCCATTCAAAACATTCCACTCCAATTGCAGTTTTAATAATTAGATTTGTGTTTCTGTCCCAACTGAGGTGATTCTGATCCCAAGTAAGTACTTAGCAGTCTTCAAACTAATATCAAATAAATCTCTGACAAATATAGACAAGTATTACTAATAAATTAATACTAAATAGTTTAGGAGATCTTCTGGCCAGCTGTTATACAGGCAAAGGTTTGTGTAACCCAAAGGAAAACTTTATATAGTTCAACAATCGTCTTGCAGACATAAGTATTCAAGATTTAATTCTTAATCGAATTTAACTTTATGACATCCTCGCTCAAGTCTTTAGCTTTTATTCATTCTCATTTCTACTTCTTTATAAATGCATTTAGATAGAGAGACACACCAAAACGCAGGGCTCGATTAGACTATGACACAAGAATATATTGGCTTCACTAGATTCATTGCGCCTTCTGCTACCCTTTTACGTGCGTCTACAAATAGAAATGGAAAGTCAGGATAATTTTGTTTAGTTAAATTATACCAACAATCCATTTCAATAAAAATATGAAATATATTCCGAAACAATTATATGTGCTATCTTCAAGAGTTGCGAAATGCAATAGTTCCTACTGTATTCTCAACTTAGATTGTGTATTTCTAACTTTCAGATTTGATCGAAGTTTTGTGGCATAAAATTCTAAAGAGTTTCTTGCAGCTTCTTGGACCATGAAAATGGACAGGTGAATGAAAACTTTTTGATTTGCTGCTGAAGTTTGCAACTCTGGCTAATTTGATTAGATTCAAGCGAGCAAATCTTGGAAATTGGAATAACGTGTTGGGAGTTTCAACTAGTTGCGAGTTGCCAGTTGCCGCAGAGCAGCAGAGTCGAGTGCGTTTGTTGGTCACACAAGCAATGTTATGGGAGCCCTTGACATAGGCACAGATGCCTTTGAGATGACACGGACACACACACACAAACACACACCAGCAGCCTAATTGAAATACGGCCTTTAATTTCCTGCTGGCTTCTTGAGATCAAAATTTGACAGTTGATGTCGAATGCCTGCTGGGAGCAGCCTGGGCGGCCATGAGTGAAGAAGCCGTCGGATGTGCTTTTCAGAAAATTTGATTGCAGCTTGTTGCTGGCAGCCACAAATCAAAATTGCTCAATTTTCTGGCATTGATTCAGCTGGAACGTCAATGGAACTAACCGAATTATTTATGGCCCACCAGCTCGCCATCAGTTTGCATACAATTAAAGCTAACTGCTAGCCAATCGCTCGCTGCAAGCAGCTTCAACTGCAAGTCGAAAGCAATTTCGATTCTCTTCATCTGCGACTTACCCGCCGTGCAGAGGCGCATGTCCTCGTCGTAGCCATCAGAGCAATCGGGTGCACCGTCGCATAAATATTGTATGGAAATGCAATTACCATCGCCGGGACACTTGAAAGGTTCGTAAGGATGGCAGGCCTCTGCAAGAAAAGAACAGAGGGAAAATCAGCCTAAAACTTGATATAAATCAATATAAATAAAATATCAAAGTTTAAAACTAGCTCTAGAAAAAATATAAAAAAATTTATGACTTTCACTTGGGTACTCTATGATTTTCTGTGTAACTTTTTAAGTAACTTTAACTTATAGAAATTGTTTCGAAATAAAGATAATATGGGTATATAGAATAGACATACAGTTATATGATTATTGGAAGCACGCACAATTCCATTTTATTGCTCTATAGCAAGACATTTGCATATGTGTATTCATATATATTATATATCAATTTATATATATATATGCTTTTCCGTTTACAGGATAACAGGATAAAGTATGCTTGCATTCTTATCGCATTTAAGCTGCTTATGCGAATTTGTATTTCACATTAATTATTTGTGTCCGGAAAAAGAGTTTAATACAGGTATTACATACATAAATACATATGATTTTAATATATGTATGAAACCAAGTATATATATATATATGCATGATTATGTATATATTATGATCCTATTATACATGTTGTATAATTAATATAATATGACGTGAAATTACTATCAGAATCTGCTTGCTTATACTTCCAACTGACATGATTGTTTTCTGCTTTTGCTGCAGTATTAATGCGAGGTTAGCAACTCGTAAAGAGTTGTTGTGGAGGTATTATCCATGTGAGCTTGCGTTTTGGCTGCACGCTTCTTATGTCTGTCTTGTCTGCTCTAAGCCTCAGTCAGCGAGAGTGAGAGAGACAAACATAGCTATTTGGCTGTAGTGCCGAGTATTGCTGAGTGAGAATGAGATGACGCGTTGGTCCATTCGGACAGGCTCATTATAATTTTAAGTACACGAAAGAAGCCAGAAATTTTCTTTCAACAAATGATGTAAACAAATATAATAATTCATATAAATACTTTATATCAATAATCTCAGAAAATAACTAAATCGAGCAAGCTATTAAAAGAGTGCAAATAAAATCAATATTAGAATTTTAAAAAATATATATATTATTATTTTTAATTTAATTTAAAAATTAAAAAAAATTTAAATAAAAAAAATATATATATTTATGTATAATATATAAATACATCATTTTTTTTCAATTTGTAATATATATATATTTACTCTTCCTTTACCGCTTCCATTCTTATTTCTGTCTGCAGTGCTACAGTTTATAACTAGCAGCGTTTGGATGCATAAATTTGAATTGCAAAAGCAATTTAAAAGTGTTGAACAGCAATAAAAAAGAAACTCATCTTTGGAAGAAGTAGAAAGAACAATAGAAAGTTTATAAAATGCGCGAAAATTAACACAGTAAATATATATAAACCATAATCCATAGACAACCTAGCTAGAACTGCCCTTATAAATAGAATGCAAATATTGTGATACTGAAAAAGTGTTGAGCTGAAAATAGAAATAGAAAGCTGTCGAGGGCCAGGCAGATACAAAACTTTGAAGCAACAAACAAAAAGTTTGGCTTAGAGCATTTTAGTAAAGTTGCCCAACTTTTCCTCTTCTTTTTTGCGAAATTGAATTAGACTAATTTGGGCGCAAAGAGTGCACTGCTATGGCTGCAGGTAATTCAAGGCACCATAAAGCAGCCTTTCAACAAAAAAAAGAAGCAAACCGCAAATAATCGTAAAGCAAATGCAGAGAGCCGCGGCAGCCAAATGTCGAAAAGTAAACCTCTTTTTAATGCAGACAAATGGAAAAAAACAAAGACTTGGCTAAGCCAGACGCCAGCTACATAAACACGCACGCATACACACACACGGGCGCACACACAGCAGAAAATGGCGAAATGGCGAAATGGCCAAATGTCGAAATGGCGCTGAAAGTGAAAATTGTTCCTAAAAGCCAGGGCAAGCTTTATGCCAAGGCCCAATCTGCGACCAGTCCGCCACGTCCCTGCTAAAAGGAAAACCAATTTATGGTGCCAAAAAAAAAAAAGTGATCTACTGAAAATTTACACTCATAACACAAAATAAAGGAGCAAAAAATAAATAAAAAAGCAGCAACAACAAAAGAAACGAAAACAAAAACAAGAGAAACAAGCGCAAATTAAAATACCAAATTCTGAGCGGCATGTGCGGCGCATGTTAACAAATGGCGCGGCATATTGGAACTGAAAGCAGAGCTGAAACAAAAACAACAACAACAAGTACAAGAAAAACAACAGCAGAACAACAATAAATTCAATTAACTCGCGCCTTGTTTGGGTTTCATTTTGATTTCTTTTTCCCCTGACGCATCTAATGCGCATTTAACGGGATTTTATGAGCACTGCAAATTGATGCTGGGCAAAAAAAATTTAAAAAAAAAAACAAATATCATTTTTAAAACGAAAATTAATTAATTGCGCTGATTGTCTGCTAATGGTTTTTTTTTTTATTTTTTTTGTTTTTTTGTTTTCTGTTTATTTGCTCTTTGTTGTATATTAAATTTTAATTTTAATTCCACTTACAGCTTTTAACAGAAACAAACTGATTATCCCCTTTGGTTGAGTGCATCACGCTTTCAACACTGCGTTGAGTATATAGAATATATATATCCAACTGTCTATTTGCCAATTCTGTGAGTAACCATTGATCATTGTGAATATGTGAACAAACCTTTCTTTCCAAAAAGAAATTGTCTCTATTGCTATGGTTAGAAGTGTTGGCTATAAAGAGCGACGCTTTTATTATAATTTCTTATCACTTTGAAACATACTTCTTACATTCTTTTCTCTATAAAAAGATCTTGTCTCTATTGCTATAGTCTCTTAATTAATTTCATTTACCAAAAACATTCCTCTTAAAACCACTTTTTTCTATTGCTTTTGCCTACCATGACACACTCAAGCGATTTTGGGCTAAACTCCACGTGAAGCTAAACTCGTCCACATTCAATCATATTCATGCTTGAACACCTGACTTCTTATAAAGCTCAAGCTCCTCTATATCAAATTTAAATTTACAACAGCTTTTATCTATTTAGAGCTCTTAGTTAATATAGTTTTGTTTCTCTTTTTTTTTAATATTTTCGTGTACTATAATTTGTAAATGCATTAAAATATGTTATTCAATTTATTACCGCAAATATGTAGAAATTCTGTATTCGATTATATTTTTGTTGACATGTATTTAATACGGTTTAAATTAGCCAAATTAATTTACATACGTTGTTAATACCATAAGCATGACGCACCAATGAAACCACAGCTTAATTATAATTATTTTTATTTAATTTTTAATATGCTGTTAGCATTATATACATGGTATTATGGAACTCTTTTGTGTGACATTTCGCCTGAGTAGCTTAATAAATATACCAATAGCTTAATAGCTTAATAAATATACCAATAGAATACTTATGAATGTGAACTTAATGTCATGTCATATTCATAAGGGTTACAGATATTTCCATCAGATTTTTCTTTCACTGCTGATTATATTTATGCCTTATTTACACCTTATCATCCCTTTCAACATAAACGATTTAATTAGGCAATTAGCAGAACAGTTGCTGAAGAAACAACTTCAATAATTGACACTAAATTAGGTAAGCGACGTCGATGTATGACAGAAACACAATAAATGTCATAAAAAATTGAACGATAATCTATTGCTTCATGAGCCAAAAGGTCATTCTGAGCAGACAGCAACGAAAGCAACGAAGAAGGGAAAGCAAAAAAGGGAAATCCTGAAGTCTGTTAAATAGTGCAACAATGTCAAAATGTGTTTCAGAGAATTGGCATTAAGAAGACCTGAAGTTAGAGTATAAAACGATCTGACAGCTTTGACAGTGGCTGGAAGCTGATTGTGGCGAACCCTTTGGCCAATTTGGCCAGCGCCTTTTGACCTTCTGGGCCAGCCATTGGCCGTGCACAATTTGGCAGCGATTTTTCTGCACACTGTCCGCACATTAAACCAAATATCTCCCAGTTGGTGTGTGTTCTGTGACGCGCACGGCCAAAAGTTGTTTTCTTGAGCCAGCCAGGGAGCTGAGTGAATTATGGGTCTGCGCCCTGTGCCCTGCACTCTGCGTCTTGCTCTGTGGCCTGTCAATTATCCCAGCCCTGCTGGGCACATAAATTCCAATTGTTCTAACATCAAATAGTAATGAATTGCCCGCGGCTGGCTTACAAAGTGTTTTTTTATTTTCGTATTTTTGGAAATTTACGCACAATGACAGCGCAACTAAATTAAGTAGTCTGGCGCGTGCAACGCGGCGTATGTGTATTAGTCAAGCCTTAACACAGAGTGCTTCACGAGCATGAAATTATAGATTTAGTCAGCTAGATTACGCGCTATGAATCGCTTGGCTAGGCAATTGAGTTAATTGGCTTTGCCATTCTGTTTTCAACAAGCTTTAAGATTGTTTTGTTTAGTAAACAAAGCAATTATTTGTTGCACAATTTGAACACAATTTATTCTGTTTGTAAATATAGTTTTGATAGCATTTTTAACTAAAATATTTAATTATACTTATAATTTAAAAAAATATAGAAAATGTTTCAGACTCTATATTAAATAGAGTTAGAGAAAATTTAAAGCCTTGCTATCTACATTTTCGATTAGAAACTTCAGTTAGTACTTACTCAACAGCTAAGGCATGTATAAAACCAATTTATTTTCCACTGGTTTCTATGCTCTTTAGCGCTAGCTTAAATCATCTTGGCAAAACGTTCAATAGCTGCTAATTGTGTGGGCTGGAAAAGCAGCGTACGAAGTTTATTTTGTTGTTTACTTCAGAGTTCTCAAAGCAACTTCCAAGTTTGCAGTTCTTTTAATTGACAACGAGTGCGCACAAAAGTAGGCAACATGGGCAGACTACGCTTTGTAGACACTGCAGCTGTGGGTGCTTGTGGACTTTTCGACTAAGGCCGCCGCATATACATTTCTGGTGGTTGCCGCTGCGTAAACACACACTCGACAAGAGCTGCTAAGACGGACTAAATCGACTGCGGTTAGCCAGGGCATGTGTTAATTTTCGCAAA